TCAGTGCCACACACTAGATTTTGGGTGTATTTTGGTCTGTTAGAAGAACGTGCCTCCCAAAATTTTAAAGAAAGACTTATACATGTACAAAATAAGGGTTGATACAATGAAGGGACGGAATATGAGTGTAAAGATGAAAATTATAAAAAATTTTATAAAAGGAATTGAAAAGATAAGTTGTTTGAAAAAGAAAGAAGAGGATTTAAAAAAAAGAAAGAAAGAAAGAAAAAAAAGGGGGGAGAGAATGTGATCAAGCAGGAGACTAGAACAAAGCCATACGCTAGAGATTTAGAGTATATTTTGATCTGTTAGAAGAAACTGAATCTCAAAATTTTAAAGAGAGAACAACTTATATATATGCCAAAAATAATGGTAACTACTATGAAGGGATAGAATATGACTCTAAAAATGAAAAATAAAAATGTTTTTTTAAAAAAGGAATTGATAAGATTTTGGTTGAAGAAGGGAAAAAGAAAAATTCAAAAAAATAATTAAAAAAAATTAACTTTGAAAGACTAAAGAATCATGGTAAAAAAATCCATGAATTCTATGTGCAGTATTCCCCTAGCTCTGGAGTTTTGCCGTTCTCATTCATCGGTAAACTTGGACTTGGCTGGCTGTTCTTTTTTTTTTTTTATTTTTTTATTGTTATGTTAATCACCATACATTACATCATTAGTTTTGGATGTAGTGTTCCGTGATTCATTGTTTGTGCATAACACCCAGTGTTCCACGCAGAATGTGCCCTCTTTAATACCCGTCACCAGGCTAACCCATCCCCCCACCCTCCTCCCCTCTAGAACCCTCAGTTTGTTTTTCAGAGTCCATCGTCTCTCATGGTTCGTCTCCCCCTCTGACTTACTCCCCTTTATTCTTCCCCTCCTGCTATCTTCTTCTTTTTCTTTTTTCTTAACATATGTTGCATTATTTGTTTCAGAAGTACAGATCTATGATTCAACAGTCTTGCACAATTCACAGCGCTCACCATAGCACACACCCTACCCACTGTCTATCACCCAGCCACCCCATCCCTCCCACCCCCCACCACTCCAGCAACACTCAGTTTCCTGAGATTAAGAATTCCTCATATCAGTGAGGTCATATGATACATGTCTTTCTCTGATTGACTTATTTCACTCAGCATAACACCCTCCAGTTCCATCCATGTCGTTGCAAATGGCAAGATCTCATTCCTTTTGATGGCTGCATAATATTCCATTGTGTATATATACCACATCTTCTTTATCCATTCATCTGTTGATGGACATCTTGGCTCTTTCCACAGTTTGGCTATTGTGGACATTGCTGCTATAAACATTGGGGTGCACGTACCCCTTCGGATCCCTACATTTCTATCTTTGTGGTAAATACCCAGTAGTGCAATTGCTGGATTGTATGGTAGCTCTATTTTCAACTGTTTGAGGAACCTCCATACTGTTTTCCAGAGTGGTTGCACCAGTTTGCATTCCCACCAACAGTGTAGGAGGGTTCCCCTTTCTCCGCACCCCACCAACATCTGTCTTTTCCTGACTTGTTAATTTTAGCCATTTTGATGGGTGTGAGGTGGTATCTCATTGAGGTTTTGATTTGGATTTCCCTGATTTGGCTGGCTGTTCTTGCTGATCTTCTGGGGGAGGGGCCTGTTGCCGTGGTTCCCAAATGTCTTTGCCGGAGGCGTAATTGCCCCGCCCTTGTCGGTCCGGGGTAAGTAATCTGCTCGGGTTTGCTCTCGGGAGCTTTTGTTCCCTGCAAGCTTTCCGTATGGCTTTGGAGGACGAGAGTGAAGTTGGCGGCCTCCCAATCTCCGCCCCAAAGGAGCCGAGAACTCGGGGCCCCGCTCCTCAGTGCGCCCCCAGAGAAAAGCAGTCACTCCCGTCTCCCTGGTCTCCGGCCGCACTCCGTGCTCACCCGGCCTGTGACGGAGCGTTTCTATCTCTGGCACCCGACCCCGTGTGGAGTCTCCAAACCCAGCAGATTCATGCAGTGCACTCCTGCGCCGCTCCTCCCGGGGGAGGAAGGGGAGTCTCCCCAGCTCTACCGCTTGTTGGGTCCCTGCTGGAGGAGCAGTGGCCCGACTGGGCCGCGGATCAGTTTATGGCCACCCCGAGCTGAGAGCCCGCGCCTCGGCTCCGTCTCTGCAGCCGGCTTCCCTGCTCCGATACCTGGGAGCTCTGCCGCACTCAGGCACCCCCGGTCTTTCTGTGACCCCGAGGGTCCTGAGACCACACTGTCCCACGACGGTTCCACCCCCCACTTAGCCACTGAGCGATGTCCCTCAGCGGAGCCGACTTCTAAAAGTTCCGATTTTGTGCTCCGCGGCTCTATCACTTGCCAGAAGCGGCCAACGGAGGCCCCCTCCCCCGCCGTCTATCCTCCCGAATATCGCCTCGGATTCACTTCTCCACACGCCCTACCTTCCAGAAAGTGGTCGCTTTTCTGTTCAGAGAGTTGTTGCTATTCTTTTCTTCGATCTCCTGTTGAGTTTGTAGGTGTTCAGAATGGTTTGATCCCTATCCAGCTGAATTCCTGAGACCAGACGAAATCCAGGTGTCCTACTCCTCCGCCATCTTGCTCTGCCCCCTACCCCAGGGGTTGTTAAGTGTAAACTTTTGGTAGGATAAAAAAGCTTTGTTATTGTGAATTCCCCCAACAGGGTTCTGTTAAAAGAATATCAGGCATCATTTTGCAAGGACGGGAGAAAATATTTGGGGGAGCAGCAGAAGTCATCTCAACCTCCTGGAATCTGCAGAAGCTCATGGGTCTACCCATCCTTCATGCCCCTCCCTCCCAGGGACAAAACACACCAATATGATATCTGTTCATGCTCATGCCCTCCCCCTCCCTTACAAGAGGGCCTGGGTGACACCAAGTCATTTACTGACTTATCTTCATAGGCTCTGAAGAGTATGGCTCTGGTCCAAAGCTGATGGTCCTTGTCTTCCATGCCTTGATTTATTCTTCCCCTTTTTTTTTCTTTAATTAACTTGCTCAGTGGGAAGGAGGACGGTGCTGGCAATAATGCTGATCTAAGTTTTCTATTTGTATTACTCAAGCCCAAAAGTTGAGTCTGCAACCCCAATGGACACTACTAACATAACTTGGACACTGAGTATAAGACACTTGTCTAAATATCAGACCGAACCCAGACTTGAGAAGAACCTGGACATCCTGCCTTGTGCTCAGCACATGACCGATGCTGTGTAACATTTATGGAAATAAGTTAATGGCATGAAAACGGTCTTAATTTCACATCAGAGCTCTTGATTCATTATTTTCTTACTTCTGGAGACGGTGTCTGCTATTACCAAATTTTAGAATTGAGGAGTGAACGGAGGTCTCATTGGGGTTCATCTTGTCTGTCCTTTCACATTGTGATTAGTTAGATCTACAGCAGACAAAGACAATCAAAGACAGAGCCATAGGCCATTGGCATTTGGGTAGGGTAATTCTTTTCTATGAGACTTCTCCAGACATTTTAGGACATTTAGTGTTCCTAGCCTCTGAGCACTAACTACCGGAAGTATCCATCCTGCAGTCTTTGTGCCAAGTGGAAAAAAATAAACTCAAAACTCTAAAAACAATTCTTCCTGAAGAGGGCAATCATCGTCGATCTTAGTTGAGAACTACTATTTTATAGGTCACTGGGATCCCAGGCTTTGCTAAAAATGTATAAATTTTTATGAGCACTACTTTACAATAACTTCATTTTTGACTGAAGTCCACCTGCATGGAACTTCGAGATGTTCATGTTTCTCTGGCTTTGGTTACACAGGACGGCACTTCTCCTGTTTCCCCCTTCTCTCTTCCTGCTGTGTCTGTCTCCCCACTTCCTCTATGCTTCCTCCTTGACATAATTTCTCAACTCCCCACAGCCCATGAATATGAAAAAATGACCCACAGAACCACACCCAACAAGCCTGCTTGTGTGATCTGAGCAGGCCAGAGCACAGGGGGACCCTCTTTCCTATAATCTGAAATTGCATTTGCTTTTGTGGCAAAGGTATCACCTTTTGAGTTTGTGTTCAATCTTTGTCTGGGGCATCCCTTCCCTCCTCTCTCTTCTAGGCAGCCACTGGGCTGGGGAAGGGGAAATAGAAGGAGCGGCCACCACTCCCGTTCTGTAGCCCTCAGGCCTTCAGCTCCAAATCAGGAAAAGAATTGTGAAAACTTACCTGTGAGGGTCATGGAAGTGTGGAATTCATTTTTTATGAGGTTCAGAACTTCCTCAACGCCATGTTCGCCCTGCTCCAAGATGGGGGTGGGGGAGTGGGGAGAGACAAAAAGAAGCGTGAAGAACATTCTGCCCAGGTGCTGAGTAGCTGTTCTAGGTGTGCTCCCAGCTGCAGTGGGGAGGATAAGGATGTCTGTGAAATTGGAACTACACTGGGAAGACAGGGAAGCAAAGAGGAAAAGATGGGGGTGAGGGTGCCTGAGAATGTGAAACGCCCTGCCGAAGAAGCGGGAGAGGCGGGCAAGGGGGAGCTGTCCCTCAGGATCTGTGGCACCTGAAACGACAGTTCAGCTTGGATGGCAAACCACAGTAAAGCCCGGGAGCAAATGAGAAGCCCAGTATCTTCCCACTGGTTTTCACTCTGCCACTCTCACCTTATAGGCAAGACCCCACAGGACTGGTCTCCCCAGAAACACACACTTAGCCCCAAGGGCCAGAGCCTTGAGCACGTCGTTGCCAGTTCGGATCCCACCATCCAGGTACACTTCCATTTTCCCTTTCACGGCAGCCACCACTTCTGTCAAGGCATCGATCTGAGAAAGAGACATGCACGGCTTGAGGGATTTCCATTTTTCACTCTCGGGGATCATGGGACAGAGGTGCCCTCAATGTGGGTCAGGAACAGGAAGTCCAAGTATAGTGCAGCTACGTTCCCGAGCCCCATGGACTTTCTTTTTATTTTTTAAAAAGATTTTATTTATTTATTTGAGAGAGAGAGACTGTGCACACACAAGCAGGAGGAGGGGCAGAGGGAGAGGGAGAAGCAGACTCTCCACTGAGCAGGACCCTGGAACCATGACCTGAGCAGAAGGCAGATGCTTAACCGACTGAGCCACCCAGGCACCCCGTGAGCCCCAGGGACTTTCTGCAGGCTCTCCCTCTTGCCATTTTCTGCCCTGACAGAGTGTAGCTTCTCTCTGACTCCTTGTTCAACCATCTACAGCTTAGAAGAAACTCTTGGTTCCTCTTCACATCCTAAAGGGGATATTTTCCATTTATGGTCTTCACTTTAATGTTCTTTTTAAAGTGCATTTTGACTTTTGGTTTTCTCCTGCCCTCTCTGTTTCTAGGGCGGCACAGGTAGGAATGCTCTCCATTGCTAAGGCACTGAGTCCTTTTGGCAAAGCAAATGTGTCTGGACCACAGCCTGTCTTGTGTAACTGGGATGCCCATTGTTCCTTAACACATCACATTTGAACAACTTGTTCCTGACTCCCGTATGGGTTATCTGAGACGTGGGTTGGGAATGCAAGCAGCAGTGCTGTCGAGGTAGGGTTGCAGACTCTGAAAGGCAAAACAAAAGCAGCTTATCACTTGGCCTGGTTTCTCCCCAGACTTTGTCTCTCACCTTGCCTCCCCTGTTCCAGGCTCTGCAGCTACCAGGTCTTGCCAACCCACAGTGCCCCAGACTGAGCCGTGGTCCTGAGCACCTCCAAGTCTAAGAGGAGGGGTGACAGCAGAGTCTGGGAGCAGGGTCCTTGAGGACAGAGTTTTGGAACTGTCTCAGGGCTCCTGTTCTATGCCTTTTGGACAGACAGCTGGAGAGGAGGTGAAACTGGGTCCTGGGGGACTTCTGCTGCAGAAGGAATCAATGGCAATTCTATCTCAATGAGATCCTTTGGGTGACTGAGCAGAATATGTAATCAGGGAGGAAAGAACTTTGTACTCTAATTTACAAGTGGAGGAGAACTGAATACTTTAGACTTATATGTGATAACTGCTGAGAATGCATGTCCAGATAAGGAGTATTTTTATAGCCCCAGCATGGTATTATTTGGAATATTTCAATGATATTGGGAAAAAGAAATAAACACATCTGTGCAAACTCTTCCAGTGAGTTGTATTGGACAATGGAGCTGATGGAATTTGGAGAAACAGACCAGGGAGTCAATTGTAGCCTAGGGTACAGGATTGCTTTAGAGCTACTTTCGATAGGTCACAATAGGACATTCATTAGAGCCTTCTGGGGACAATAGCTAGCTGACCCTTTTTTCCGGTTCCAGGAAGAAATACAGGAAATATATGGAACCTTCCAGAGATGGGAGCTTCAAAGAGTCATACCCCTCACAGGGAGGGGTCTGGGGTGAGAGGAGTGAAGCATTGGCCTCAGGCACAAAATTTAAGGAATGCCAAAACACTCAGATAAAACATTTGGATGTAATATTTAAAAATCAAATGGCAAACTTTGACCTGTGAGCAAGGGTGGGTGAGTGCTTGTTTTTGTATATAAATTTTTTTTGGATCTGGGGTCAGGATGACAGAGAGATGTGTGGAGGCAGGTTATGCAAGCACAGGGACAGATCCTATTTTTGTTTAAAATGTTGATATTTTGTTCACCATGGAATTTTTGCATTAATTTTAATTTTTTAAATAGTGCATTAAACTATTATTTATCTTTTTTTTAAAGATTTTATTTATTTATTTGACAGAGGGAGACACAGCGAGAGAGGGAACACAAGCAGGGGGAGAGGGAGAGGGAGAAGCAGGCTTCCCGCTGAGCAGGGAGCCCGATGTGGGGTTCGATCCCAGGACCCTGGGATCATGACCTGAACGGAAGGCAGACGCTTAACAACTGAGCCACCTAGGCACCCCTAAACTATTATTTATCTTACTAAGTTTTTCTGGCACCTTCTCAAATTTTGAGCCAGAGGTACCTCACTAGCTTCACACCAATCTCGGCACCGTCCCCTTGGGCTTGGTTGTTAAGTCAGATGGCTTGGGAGAATGACGTGTTGATCGGCATGATGCGGAAGGAGAAATTCTCTCTCTGGTTCCTACCTTTGCCAACAGTCATTCTCTACTGAGGAAGTGCAGTGGGGAGCAATTACTCGGCCTCTTTCTCCATGTATTACTCAGTCCTCCCCGCCAGGGAGCAACACTCGCTAAACTGCTTCATGAGCCTATTGCATACTGCTTTATTAGAGGTATTTCAAGAGTCAACGTTCTACTCTATTTGCTGCTTGCTGGTGGTGGGCTCTTTTTTGTTTTCTGTTCCTACCCGTAGGCACAATTGGGATTGCTCAAGACCTGTTATACTTTATAGCATCCTGTTCTGCCAGTTTCTGGGTGTGTGAGAGGTGGCCTGGGGGCATCCTTGCAGGGGTTGGGTGAGCGTGCTGGCATGTGCTCTGCATATCTACTTTCTCCAGGGGTCACGGGTCAAAATTTGGGATGGGAAGTAGGATGCCCAACTGTTCCCTTCAATCAGCTCTTATGGCGAGCTACAGTAACCTGTGCCCCTTATTCTCTAAGTGGGCTTGTTATTCTGTGCCTGTTCTCTCTCAGTGAGAGCCTGGTGGGGAGGAAGGGGTGAGTCATTGGCACCTTAAGCCTCCAAGCTTCACAAGCCTTGAAATGTACAAACTGGTTGATACAGCTTCTCCATTTCCTGGAATTCGTCTTAAAGAAGTAATTGAGACTGTGCTAAAGATTTAAGGATGGTCATTGATGCATTGTTTAAAATAGTGAAAGCTTGGAAGTCATCGGATGTTCAACAGTAGGCAGTTGGTTATATAAATTGTCCCTTTGTGCTATACACCATCAAAAATGAGAGAAACATATATACTGAAATGAAATGATGTTCTTAATATATTGATAAAGTGAAAAGAGAAAAATTACAAAATAGTATATAGCTTTTTAAACCTAAACTGTCATCTTTGCATTAAGAAGTTGATAAAAAACAATTCCCAAAATATTGTCATTAGTGATAATGATGAAATTAGGGGTGATTTTTATCTTCTTCTTTTTGCATATGTACATTTTATAATTTATCTGCAGTGAACATGTTTTACTTACGTAATAGAAAGGCCAAAAGAGAGAAAAAACCCACTTCCTTTTCTTTCTTTTTTTTTTAAATTTATTGATTTTTATTTTTAGAGAGAGGTGAGAGAGAGAGAGCATGGGCGGGAGGGGCAGAGGGAAAGGGAGAGAGAATCCCAGGGAGAGCAGAGTCTGCCGTGGGGCTCTATCCCACGACCCCGAGACCATGACCTGAGCCGAAACCAAGAATCAGAAGCCCAACCCACTGTGTCACCCAGGCGCCCCCACCCCACACTTCCTTTTCTTAGAATAAATCAAGTAGTGATAGAAGAATCTCTTGAAAAATATAAGCTATATATCTCCAAGAAAATAAATCAACAATTAATTCCCATTTAAAGATTCTTTCCTTGCCTGCCTCCTTTTCATCTGTAATGGACATAAATTCAAAAGCTGGGGGAAAATCACAGACTGTCACAAATTTTTAGAAAAAGATTCATATGGCATTTTTTAGTTTTACTGTGAAAAATGGTTATTTATTCGTTTAAGTGAGGTACTGTTCCTTCCCAGGATGTGTTATATGAGAAAATATGTTGTTACACTCCATGCACACAGGCAGGCTTTCAGCTGAACACTTCCTCCAGAAGGCAGGAGACCTCAGTGCCTTTGGAATGTCTCGCCTAACTTTGTGAACTTGGACAAGTTACTTAACATCTCTAAGCTCCAGGATCCCCATCTGTAAAAGAGTGATGATGCTATACATCTTGCAGGATGGTTGTGAGATTTAGAGATGATGTATGTGAAGTTTGTAAAAATAACCTGGCACATGCTAGACTGTTAATAATTAAAAGTTCTTGCAATTAACAGTTATATACCAGCATATGTGGGAAGGGAGAGGGGAGTGTGGGCCAAAGTGCACAGAGTACCATGCTGTAGGCATACTCGAGCACACACACACACTCACACACACACATACCCCCTCTGAAGTCACCCTACTTACAGAAGCGGGAACGTCATCAAGCTGCCTCCCACCATGGTTGGAAACAATGATGCCATGGACATTGTGTTTCACAGCTAACTCTGCATCCTCTTTTGTCAAGATCCCTTTAAGGATGATGGGCAATCGCGATATGCTCTGAAGCCAGGAGAGATCATTCCAGCAGAAGGATGAGTCGATGGGGGACATCTGGAAATAAGGCATTGAATATCTCTGTGGGGAAGAAAAAAGAACCTTAGACCTGAGCTCATTGAGGATTGTTTGATCCATTCCAAACCGAGACACATTCAGATAGCCACCTTTCATAAGCCTTAAAAGAGTAGTAACAGAATCAACACCACTTCCAGCTCCTTTTCCTAACAAAATTTGTGTAAAAGAATTACTATCTCAACTGCTTATTCATTAACCATTAATTGTGCCCTGTTCTATAATTATGCCAGGATCTGGGGACACAAAGACAAATAAGACACAGTCCCTACTTTATTTTTTTTTATTAAGTTCAATTAGCCAACATAGAGTACATCATTAGTTTTTGATATAGTGTTCAATGATTCATTAGTTGTGTATAATACCCAGTGACACAGTCCCAACTTTAAAAGAATCTCAGAGTTTAGTAAGTGAAGGGGATAAACAAAAGCATTTATAGGCCGATGTAACATGTTATGCTTGAGATATGCCCAAGGTTATAAGAACTAAGAAATACTTCGATAATCCTGAATCAGATACTACCTTATATCTAACCTTGGCTCACCATGTGAATCAAATATCTGTAAATCCCAATGTGTCTCTGGAATCTGAGATAAGGATTCCAGAAAACTTCAAGGCTAATTTGTGGTTAATGAGTAGAACTGTTGAGTCACTTGACTGAGTATCACAGCCGCCCAGTGGCTGAAAAGGCTGTTATCATTATCTCTAATGTAACCAAGGGACTCCAATGTTGCCAAAACTTTCTCTCGCTCTGGGGCATTCCATCCCATCTGACTGTAGGATTTTAATTGGGAAATGGCCTTTGCAGTCACCTATTTCAAATTCCAAACAAGTGTACTTCAGTTCCAGGGAGGAGTTCTAGGTGTCGAGAGGTACTGACCCTCAGTTCTCAAGGCAGCAGGGTCAGAGGCCTGGGCAGGCTACACTCTGTAGGCCAGTCACCTTGTCTGTGAGCAACCTCTTCAGGAGGTCAGTTTACCTAAATGTGCCATCCAAAATGATCATCTGCTAAGTGTCCCATGGTGTAGACAGTGTTGGAAGAACTTGGTTAATTTACTCTCTTATGCCATGAAAAATCCCTTTCCATAGCTTTCCTATTTCTTAACAACCAGCCCTGGCCAGAACACTTCTGGGGACAGGTTGGGTAGCTCCAGGACTGAGGACGTTTTGTGTTCTAGCTTGCTCACCTGGTAGCTCTGGATAGCAGAAACCAGATCTGCTGTTTGAACCGGAGCATCTGCAGTGTCTGGCAAGACCAGGCCTTCAGTGACTTTTTGTAGCAAGAGAGAAGGGAGGAAGGAGGGGAGGATATTTGCCTCCTGTCATGCCTGACCATTGGATCTGGTATCTTTCCTACCTCTTTAGGTGAGTGAAGGTCTTTCAGCAACAAGTTCATCTTTAAGTTCAGCTGGTTTCGAAAGTCACGTCGCCTGTTGCCAATTTTGGGTGCATCCACAGTGATGACCAGAGCTTTGAAACCCAGGGATTCAGCCCTCTGGACCAGCTGCTTGTTGAGCTGCCGGTCTGGCTGCATATAGAGCTGGAACCACTTGAGGCCCCTGGGGGCTGTGGCAGCAATGTCTTCAAAGGGACAGCTAGCATAGGTGCTGGTGATGTAGCAGATCCCAGCTGCTTGGGCGGCTGCAAAGCCAACAGCACAACTCAGGTTGGAGGGAGGGCAGGGCTCTGGGCCCAGGGGAGAAGCCCTCACAGTCTGTGCCACCTCTGGCCTGTTTGCCCTCTAAGTGGAGATAAAGCTTGACTTCATTCTGCTTCCCACTAGGGCAGGAGGCATAGGGGGTATTTGGTCAGCCCTGGAGCGCCCCCCTCCCCAGCTGTAGAGCCTGTCCTCCAGACCCTGTCAAGTTTCCTGGCTGGAGAAGTCATTCAGTCCCCAGAATGATTTTGGTTGGACATGCTGCAGCTTTCTGATGGGAGAATGGGCTGCCCGTGAACTCGTTGATGAAGCAGAAGGGAACTAAAGAGGACAAAGGGTGAGGAAATGTGACGCCAGGGGAGAAGGCTGAGCTCTGTCCCGGAGAAAGCATGATATCTGAGTTAGAAGAGTGCTCGTTCTCCCCACTCTTAGCTGTGTGCCTTGAGTCTCATTTTCTTCGTCTGTCAAATGGGGGGAAATAATAATACCTCTCTTATAGGGTTGCTGAGAGATTAAACACGATACTAGATATGGAAGCATTTTTATGTGTTTTATTTATTATTATTTTTTTAAGTAGGGCTGGGCGTGGAGCTCACGATCTTGAGATCAAGACCAGAGTGGAGTTCGAGTTGACACTCAACCCACTGAGCTGCCCGGGCACCCCTGGAAGCGTTTTTAAAATTACTAAGTGATGTGCCGTACAAAGGCTTAGTGATCACGAGGTTGGCGAGGGTGGTGGTGACTGTGATGTTGACACTGCTGCATATTTCTCATTTCCTACTGTGATTGTTGTTTTCAGTAGGATTCTCCAGTAGGTCAACATCACTACCACTCCACAACCCGTGGGCAGAGACTCTGGCCTAATCAGGATTTAATATTTTCAACTCCTAACATCAACAGGAGATACTCCATTCTTCAGCCCCACTACAAAAACAACACCACACGTCCAACCGTGAAGATTTAGTAAAACAGTCATAGTCCTACAGGATATTCATATTTGAGCCTAGCCAGACTTGGCTCCTAACCAGACAGATGCCACTTGCAGCTCTAGAATCCTTGGATTCATTGCTTCCTATATCATGGAGTCAAAGGAAAAGATCCCAGGGAAGTCCTGGGCAACCTGCAAATGAATTATTTCCTAGATGTGACCTAGAGTAAAGATTATAAAGGGAGTCACAGGGACTATTTTCAGCCCTTCCCCTCCCCTCCTCCTTCTCCTTTTTTTTTTTTTTTTCTTTTTTTTTAGTGCAGAGGGATGAGGGAAGAGAATAAGGGGCTACTAGGAAGGAGACATATGCAATAAGAAACTTTTTGTCATCTAAGATAACAAAGTCAGTCAAGAAGGGAAACACAACATCTGGGCAGGAACACCTGCCCAGGGCTTTGTTAAGACCTCATGTCATGACTCTCTCCTCATCCGAAATTCAGAGACTCACCATTCATCTCCAGCCCTGGCCCATGAGCGGTCAGGTCAACGAGAGCCCTATCCTTGAAGCCACGCTGAGGACCCCTCCCCCGCAGACTGTGAGTGGCCTGCATCCCTCCTTGACAGGATGACCTGCTTGATTTCCACATCTTTTCATCTGTAGCCTCCCTCTCTAAGCCGCCTTCTCTCATAATCATTTGTTATGGGCCCAGCACGTTTCCGCTGCGCCACTCTGCTTCTAACCATTTGTTATGATGGAAATGGATGTTTTCTCAAACTGAGATGAAATGTTATGTGAACATCCCTCCTTAATTCTGACCAGATTGCTGTCCCTAAGCTCCCTCTGAGAGAAATCCTGCTATCGTTCTGAAGGATACCTGCACAATTCAGGGCCCCTGGGAAGGGAGGCTCGAAGTGAAGCTGGGTCATACCTCTGGCTGTGCTCATTTCTCCGTCTGGCCAGACGAGGCAGTGGAAACCTGTGGGCGCAATGCCAATGGGGGCCGTGATCTCCTCCCCTTGGACTGCGGTCCGGGTGTCCACCTTTTGCACATCTCTCAGGTACCGGGGGCGGAGGCGGATTCTGTGCCCGGCAACAAAGATTCTTCTATTACTCTCCAGCATGCAGCTGCTGTGTGGGGCTGGGGCCTCCAGATTTGGGTGCAGGTCTACACCAGACTGGGTCCCAAGAAACCTCTGGTGGGGTCAGTTGGCTGATTAAGCCACACAGACCAACTTTCCTTCAGAAAGCCTTTCCCAACATCCTGGCCCACATTAACCCCACTTCTTCTAAACTCCCAGTGCATGTGTGGCCCATACCACCTCTGGCCTTGCTCTGGCACAGATCTGTGTATTTGAGTCTGGCCTTCCTGAGCAGACTCTCAACACTTGGATGCTTTGATTGATTTACCATAACGAGGATTAGAAAAGAAAAGAATAAGCAGGAAGGAGTTCTAGGCGCTTTGCTCATAGGTTAGAAACAAGTCTCTATAAAGTAAGAAAAGGTCTCTAAAAGAGGACAAATCCCAGAGAATGATCATGGTGGGGGCTTGTTTTGTTTTATTTTGTTTTTCGCTAGAAGCTAATTCATTGGAAGATTTGACTTAACTACTGCTTTAGAAAAAGGTAGGGAATTCACAAATAGTAAATATATAAAACACACTTTTAAGTCCAATAGAGACTTAGTCTCAGGGTCCAAAAATCCTTATTTTTCACAAAATATTATTATTCCCGTACACAAATGTAGAAAGATTTTGCTAGATATGTTGTTTGTACAAACTTGGGTAAGATACACACTTCATCTGTGAAATGGGAGAATAATCCAAACTCCATAATTGTCTCATGAAGACAAAATGAGCTAAAGCAAGTAAGGGGCCTAGTATAGTGCCAAACAAGTATGAAAATACAGAACGTTGTGTTCACATTCCATCCCATTTTTCAGTTTTCTCCTGACCTCTCTATTATAGGGGGCAGCAAGCTGTTTTGTAAAGGGCAAGATAGTAAATATTTTAGGCTCTGTGGACCATGCAGTCTGTCCCAGTTACTCAGATCTGCTGTTGTAATGCAAAAGCAGCCATAGACAATATGTAAATGACTGACCATGGCTGGTTCTAATAAAACTTTACTTATAAACACTGAAATTCAAATTTTATATAATCTTCACCTGTAGCAAATTATCATTCTTCTTTTAGTTTTTTTTTTTTCCAACCATTTAAAAATGGAAAACAAAAATTCTTAGCTTGTGGACCATCCAAAAACAGGAGGTGGGCCCGACGTGGCCTGTGGGCTGTTTACCACGCTGTGCCCTACCCGCTGCTGTTCCAGCCCAGCTCTTCTTTGAAATCAACCTCCTTTCACCCTTAAGACTCTTTGGGTCTCGGGACGCCTGGGTGGCTCAGTCGGTTAAATGGCTGCCTTCGGCTCATGTCATGATCCCAGGGTCCCAGGATCGAGTCCTACATCAGGCTCCCTGTTCAGTGGAGATCCTGCTTCTCCCTCTGCCTGCTGCTCCCCCTGCTTGTGCTCTCTGACTAATAAAGAAATAAAATCTTTTTTTTTTTTTTTAAAGACTCTTTGGGTCTCCATATTTCTTGTGTCCCCTCTCCCAACAGACATTATCTCCTTCAAGCCAGAAGTTTAGGAACTCAGGAGATGTAGGCCTACCCCACCCGCTTCTCCTCTCTGCCCAGATAACTGGTGACCTTGGACTCTTGTCCTATCTTGTTGGGTGGCAGAGTTGCTGGGATGCAGAGGAAGGGTGACTCGTGTTAGTTCTGCAGAGGCACTAAGATATGTTTTTTCTCCACTTATCCTCTCCCCGGCCACCTGCCCGCCCCCCAAAAAGACCCCCCAAAACCCAAAACAATAACAACAAAACCCATTGATATATCTTGAGTACTCTGTGTTCTTTGGAGGCAGAGAACAGGGCTGCTACCTTCCAAGGACCCCTCACCCAGTGCACCTTAACTTAACAAGAGAAAGGATACAGAAGACCAGACTTTTTAAATGCTGCCATGTTTTCATCACGGGTGAAGCATTCATCAGCTCCTCCTTCAATAAAATCCCAAGTTGACTTAGAAAGATGCTCCTGGGCATAAGCCTGAAAGTCTGTCAAACACACCAAGGGCATTTCTGGACCTTCAAAGGAAAAACCAAAACCAAACAAACAAGACACTGAGAATGCGTCAGATGTAGAGGAGAGGGTAAATGTGGGGGCTATGGCCTGAAGCTGTTTGGATTCAACAATAACCCCCATGTATTCCTTATCCCAGTGGAGGTATTACCAAAGATGCTGATCCCTATGCCTCCATTCTCCCACTCCTCATACCCAAAGGCTGATTATCTGGTGTTCTAAATATCCCTCATGTTTGTCCCCTCATCTCTACAATTTCATGGCCTCAGATCCGGTTGAGGCCATGCCACCTCTTGTAAGATTATTACAAAAACTTCTTCTCTTTGTCTCCTAGCCTCCAGATTCCCTCTCTATCTCGTCTCCCTCCAGGTCCCTGTATCTTTCTGAAATACAAGTCTGATCAAATGCCCCTGTGATGGCCATCACAGCTTTCCTGGACCAGCTCCTAACTGTCTTACCAGCTTCATTTCTGGGTGGTTTTTCCTTGTCATTTGAATCACTATAAGCATTTCCTGAACATGCCCAAGGGCCGTTTCTTACCTTTTGGGGAGGAGATCATCAGGCTGGGAAAATTGGGGCTGATCTGATACTATTACCCAGGAGTTCCTGGGAATCTCTGGATGAATGAATTGTTTGGGGCTCTGACTGATATCAGGGAGAACCTTACCGTTTTTGACTCCTTGGCAGGGTCATTGAACATGTCCACTTTGAGACCAAGAAAACAGCATATGTGTCCTCCATTCATTCCCACCCCCATTCTAAAGTAAACCTGGAGGTTGGTACTTCTGATACCCCCTCTGCCCCACCTAAAGAGGAAAGAGGGCATGGTTTGAGGATAGATCCATCTAGTAGGGGCGAGGACAGTGGGAACTCTAGCTGCAGAGATGCTGAAGGCACTGGTTGCAGTCAAGGACAGCATGTGGAGCTCCTGCAGGAGAGGGGCCCAGCAGGAAAGGCTGAGAAATCTGTAGTCCATAGTCCGGGGCATCTCCCTGGCAGCTGGCAGTGGGGTGAAAATTAGCCAGAGGCTGTCAGTAGAGATGGAATGAGTTTTAAGTCATTGACTGAGGGACTGGGATAAGTCTCAGGAACTAGGGCTTCAAACATGAATGGGGCAGCTCCTTTAATGGACAAGGGGGCCAAGGAGGTCAGATGAAATGTGGAGTGTTGGGGATCCTGATGGGGGTAAGGATGGGGCAGAACTGGTAGAAGGAATCCAGGACCATGCCCGAATCTAGTCAAGTCCAACAGAGAAGTAGCCCCAAACACCTCCCCAAGGGGCTAAGGAGAAAGAAGTTATGGCAAGCAGAAAACAGAGCCCTTGGGATGTGCAGTGAGGAATTTGGAGCATAGCCACAGAGCTTTTTATAGGCAATGCACTTTGTCAGTGGGTGGGCAAGGAGTTATTGAGGTGCTGAGTTGAGTTTGACAAGGTACAGCAACCATGTCTAATTTATCTCATTCCTGCCCGACCCTTCAAGTCTCAGCGATTTGGGTTGAATGAATTTCTCATTGTACTTATCCATCAGTATTGTGATCACTGATTTAAACCTCTGTGTACATAAGAGTTAACAGACCAGGCTCGAGAATGCTAGCCCTCGACAGACCTGCTTGCAAAGCTGGATCTTGGTTGGAGTCTGGGAACTTGGACTTCAAGAGGGTTCCCACTACTCTTTGATAAGAATGGCATGGCTCACTGGTCTAAACTGTACAAACAACGTGGTTTATGCTGAACATCTGCTTTCCTTCCGAAGGTCTAGAATTTTGGCATGGGTTTGGCAGAGAATGTCAATATGACCAGCCCCCAACAAAAAGCCTTGGGCAATGAGTCTCTAAAATGAGCCTCTGTTGTGTTCAATGCTTCACACGTGTTGTCACAACTCACGGTTGGAAGAATTAAGTGCATCTTGTGTAATTCCACTGGGAGAGGACTCTTGGAAGCTTATACCTGTTTCCCTCTAGATTTTGCCCCATGAGCCTTTTCCCTTTGCTAATTTTGCTTCTCATTCTTTCTCTGTAATTAATCATAGCCTCAACCACATGCTGTGTCCTATGTGTCTTCCTAGTGAATCCCTGAATTGGGACCCCCAACATGCTTTGTATCCCCAGGCGTTCAGATGGTATGTGACAGCGAGTTGCTGTTCGTGAATGTTCATTATTTGAATGTAACATTCCCCCATCTGTCATTTCTGCCTTGTCAGATGAGAATTCTCCACCAGGTTTCTACTCCCAATGTCTCAACTAATCTCCATCTCCTATACATTACACACTCACAGAAATACCCTTCTGCAGATTTCTAGCATAAAAGCTCAACAAAGCTTGGGTCTAGTCCAAGAGAAATGGCTCAGATTCACTCAGAATTACTTGACTGGAATTGTGGGAATGAGAGTATCTGGAAACTCTTTGGAAATAAAGAAATGCCCAGCATCTTTGTATACATCAAATATTTTATTATCGCATTTCTATTTACCATTTCTTTTTCTGTCTACTGTTTCCTTTCTACCTCCCTGTGAAGTAGACAGAGAAGGTATTAGTGTCTTCATTTTGCATTTGGAGAGAATGAGGCCTAGGATATGGAATAACTTGTGAAAGATCAGTCAGTAAATTATGACAGGAGAAGCCTCAGAGTCATGTCTTCTGATAGCCCCTAAAGATAGACATTCTCCTTTTTCGATTTCATGGTGCAGAGCAAAATAGTTGGTTCATATCAACTACTTGTTTCATTGAATTTAAAAGAATTTTGCAGGGTGAAAATATAATTATGATGCATTTTTCTCTTTTCATAGTTTAGTAAAGTACTGAGCCCATTATTTTTATCAGAGGTCCAATATGAGGCCTCTAGTTGAACAGGACAACTTCATTGTTCAAAGCCTTCCCCACATTAGGAAGGGAGACTTAGCACTATATGTTTTTATGTATCTCAGTTTGATCCATACCAGACTTAAAGCCGCCAGGAATTCAAAGGAGGATCTAAGTTATCGAGTGTTTTCTTGTATTCCCATTTTATTTTATCTCCACTGCAGTATTTTTTCTCCTTTTCTCCTCTATCCCAACTACCCAAGAAGAAGAGAAAGTGGAGAAAAGGGTAGAAAGGGTAAAAGTCTCTTGCAAGAACTTTAGCTCATTGTAGGTCATTTAATTTCTTCAGGCTTTTTGTCTCTTGGTAAAAAAATGGTGAGGTACAACTAGCATATGGGAGATAAGAAAGCTCAAACATAAGAGCAAGGACATTCAGTGGTACCCATTGCTCACGACTGGAAGATCAAGCAGTTTTCCCTGACTGGGAGAGAAAGAATGACATAGCAAGACTGTTGAATCACAAAGATCTGTACCTCTGAAACAAATAATGCAATATATGGTAAGAAAAAAAAAAAAAAAGAAGAAGAAGAAGATAGCAGGAGGGGAAGAATGAAGGGGGAGAAATCGGAGGGGGAGACGAAACATGAAAGACGATGGACAATGAAAAACAAACTGAGGGTTCTAGAGAGGAGGGGGTGGGGGGATGGGTTAGCCTGGTGATGGGTATTAAAGAAGGCACGTTCTGCGTAGAGCACTGGGTGTTATGCACAAACAAGGAATTATGGAACACTACATCCAAAACTAATGATGTAATGTATGGTGATTAACATAACAATAAAAAAATTTAAAGAAAAAAACCTAATGATGTAATGTATGGTGATTAACATAACAATAAAAAACTAAAAAAAAAAAGAAAAGAAAGAACGACATAGACTATGACCAGTAGTTATTTCAAGGCAGACCTTTTCTTCAAGATTGCCATTTGATCTAATGCAATTAGGCTAGATAAACAAGTTGTCTGTCTTTGAAGATTTTAGATGACTCATAATTCATGTTGGTGTCACTTTAGGAATCTGGTTTATCAGAGCTTCCACTTGTGTGAGAAACCCCAAGGTGTTCTGTAAAAAAGGTCAGGGCGGAAATCACAGGGCAGGTCATTGGGATACAAGGGGGAGCAAAGGCTGCTTCTGAGGATCCAGCTCCAGGTGCAAGTGTTTGATGATGAAAGGTGGTATCCTTGAAGACCCTCTGGCCTGGTCCCCTGGGAACTTATGCCAAGTTTCTCAATGGAGCGGGAGAGATAACATCAAGGCTATACTTTGGGGACCTTGTCTGAGGGATTACACTGTTCAAGGTTGGCTGGAAGTGCTTTAATCACTGTATATGCGGTGACAGCCTCAAGGAGAGTGGCTGCAAAGCCTACAGCCATTACTATAGCAACGGTAGCATTGGGAGGGAGACATGGCAGCAGGAGGAGGCCCTGGTAGTGGAATGTGTGGTGGTAGAGGGAGGGGGAGTCCAGGGCTGGGACCACAGTCAGTGTCAGGACCAGAGAAGACATGAATCAGCAATGCTTGTGACTGAGGCTCATGAACTCCTAGAGAGTCCTCCAAATGGGGAGGAAAGGTCAGGGTAGAGAAGTTGGATTTCTAGGCACATCTGGTCGGATATCAATCAGAGTGCCCATAACACTGGGGGGCCTAAGGAACAAAGGATTGCATTCATGTGGGAGCGAGGGAACAAGGGGCCCAGGGTGGGTCTCACAGCCACCAGCCTGGTCAAATGCTGCTGAGAATTGACTCAGGGTTTCTATCAGCCCAGGATCAGTTCTGGTCTTTCTCCTGAGCCCTCAACATGGTATGAATTGAGGACTCAGGACCCCTTCCAGGCCATGATGCCCATTTAAAAAATTTTTTTATTCTGTTTTGTGTAGTAATCATCTCTCTTCTTCAGCCTACCACCCCTCCACTACTCCCATTAGTTGGTTTTTCTTTTCAGTAATTCAACTTCTCTTGACCTGTCCTCATGTTTTACTACGAGGAGTAGGATGTTCTGGTTCTTCAGAACCTCTCCGGCAGGAATGATAGGGAATGACTCATGCCTTTGTTTTACCCCAGAAGCTTTGTTTATCACAAGTTGAAGGAGTTTTTGAGGTTCTGAGGGGAAGCACATTTATATTAGGGATATGCCTGCCCTGG